AAGTGCATCTTTTTATTTAGTAAATGTGAATTTTCATTCGGCTCTCCTTTGTATCGCATTTCTGTGAGCCTTTTGCTGCTTCTTTTTCACACTGCTTCTTTTCAGTGGCGCTTCGAACTGGCTTTCTGGCGAAGAGCGATCACGCCTTGAGGCTGTGCAACGCGATTGGCGTCTTTCGCGTCCAGCCAAACCTTACTCGGTACGTATTGCTGGCACGTGTGGCAGCAGTAAGGCACGCGAGCCTACCGGCCAGGTCATACTTCCAGTAGTCCTATGCACCGCCTTCATTCCCCACATTTATATAAGTTCAGATGGGTTTTCCAGGAAAATGTGCGCTTCACAAAAATCGTTTATTCGGAATGTCCATCCACCGTTTTCGAATCGCAGTTTGCTGGCTGTGCAAAGAGGGGGCACGGAGTAGTGGTCCTGCTTCCTGCCTCTCCCCCATTTCCTGCTCAGCCCGTTCTTTACAAGTTCTGCTGACCTTCCTCGCATTTGTCCTTTAGTCTGGTCCCTTGCATGCTTGATTGTTTTTGAATTCAAACGGTGGTCGAATCAGAATGCGGCATTTTTCCATGCCGTCTTTTCACCTCAAATCAGCGTTTCAAGTCGTAGGACCGAGTGTAGCAGATAGCCGCGAGTTGGCTTGTGAGACATCCGCACTTTCGTATTGCAATTTTTCTTGTGAGCTGTCTTATCATTTTTCTTTTTTTTGCTTTTCGGTAATCGGGTTTTTGCAGCCGTGGCATCGCTATCGACAGCCATCGGCGGATGTCTCTTGTCGACCAGATGCAGCGGTCGTGGTAGGAAGTTCAACATCAGCCGCACATCAGCGGTCCTTGTTCGACAGAAACAGGTTGCTTTTAGTCAGTAAGCGAAAGTGTTTGTCATTAGTTGTGTTATGGGATGAAGGAAGCTGAGTACGCATGGAAGCCACAAAAAGCGAACTTTTTTACACACTTTGCAGTCTAATCTTTCAATTCTGATCCTGTATTAATCTTTTTCCTTAATTTTTACTGTTTCAAAATTCGCTGCTCAGTCGCTGGTGCAGATTTTGCGATGTAAGCGCACTGCCGTCCTTCAGTGCGAGAAGTGACCGCCGCCTGTTGTGAGCAAAAATACGTATCTTTTTAGTTTTAGTTTATAAAATGAATTGTACGCGTCAGTTCAGCTTAAAAGGCGCCGATAAATTGGAAATGAAGCGACAAATAAAAAGTATTGAGTAAACAGTAACGACGAATGTCGACGTGAACTACAAGTGCCTCGTTGATAAGCTTCATAAGTGCGCAGGCGATCTCTACAGAACTCAGTTGTTGAATTCTGAGATCTCGACAACTACGAAAATGGTCTTTGAGAAGAGAAAAAAACATGAAAGGGGACTTACTCTGCGCATAGAACAAAGGAAGTATTTTACGGGTGTATGTGTCAAAGGAGAACACATCCATGGAATACTCACTTTTTGGCAGACACGTTAGGTGGAGGATGAAGGAGGGCCTCGAATACTATAACTGAAAGTCAGAAGTAATGCCTGAAGAAGTATTGTTATGTCATCGCACAGTGGCGACGTTTGAAGCAAGAAAATAGACGTTAGACAACGAGCCGGACACACATAAAGGATGTGTATGGGGAAACCTACACAGTTTTGTTCCAGTTACATACCGGCATTTCCGCATCTGCAGTTTACTCCACTAGCCAACATATTCCTCTCGAACTTGTCGGCGAGGTAAAAGGCGCAGCTTTCTAAATGAAAAATGAAAAGGGTTTTTTTTTAATGACAGCATTAATCTCAAACTCATCACATGGAGGGGGGGAGGGGTTGTATGCTCTGGTCGTTCGGTACCTCATCCAGAAAGCGATATCTAGCAGTTGGAAGAAGTCGAGAATTGTTGTGCTCCACAAAGTGGCAATACAGAAGAAAGTGACAACCTCGTTTATCGTACATCACTGTTTCTTGGCAGAGGATGCACGTTCATGAAATGCTGCTTTTCTTTTTTCGAAAATTGCCGTTGAGATAATTGAGCAGCATATAAAAGTTTGTTTCTACTCGGATGTTTTGAATGTTTTCGCGTTTTCCTCGTTGGCACCCGTCGGCATTGTTCATCGAAAGCACAACTTCAAATAAAGGTGTTAATCTTTGACCAGACAGCAGGCATACGCGTTTCCTACTCACTGGTCTGGTATGTTGTGGGAAACTTTATTGATAATGAGTTT